ATTGAGTGAAGAAGGAAATGTGCAAAATTTATAGTATTTATAAGAGCCATCAATTCATTTGAGACTTTCAAGGCACCGGCATTATGTGAAAACAAACTCAAGTCAGCTTTAGCGATAACCTATCACAATCATAATTAATCAGCACAATAATAAATACTCGCTTATTATGAAATCAAATACAGAAAATGGCTAAAAAATGATACAAAATCCTCTTTAGAAAAATAAGTTGATAAAAATAAAAAATACTGGCTTATTATGAAATCATATATAGAAAATCACAGAAAAGTGATGCAAAATGCTGCTTCAGGAAAAGTAAACTGGTTAAAAATGAGAAAAATAGACCTAAACAGATGACCAATATAGCAGACTGTGGAAGTAAAATAAATTTAATATTTTATTAATAAATCCTACATATTATATACAATTTAAATAATAAATATTTTAGAATTGTTTAAATCTCTCACAATTATAATTAATCGGTACAATAATAAATAATGGCTTATTATGAAATCATGTACAGATAATGTGTCACAAAATCCTGTTTCAGGAAAAGCAGAAAAGATCTTCACTTGTTTTTGCACTCTTTTCAGGATGTATGTGTTCATGTGTGAGCGTTTATATCTCAACGAATGTGTGTTTGTGCAGAGTTGCACGTGTGTGTACTTACGTTCATAGTTGAGTATTTACATGCAGGCCTGAATTAGTGTGTGCTGTACAGTAAAGGCAAGAGTGCTATTTAGCTGCATATGTTGTGTTTAAATGTTTGGCAGCAGAAGAGTGTAACAACTGATGGTCCAGATTTTATGCTTATGAAAACAGAAAATAAATCAGAAACGGAAAGGGAGAGAGAACGATACTGATAGACGGCCAGTTGTGGTGTGAAACCATTTTTCAGAGCAATAAAATTGTACAACACACACTGCATTTTGCTGACAGGACACTGCTCAAAAACTAATAAATGTGTCATTGACATTGGCATGAATGGTAGCGCTGTTGCAACATTGCAAGGAGAACAACACACATGCTACTCTAGTACATACCTCAGCATAACAGACCATGTGTTTGCAGGTTTAGTGTGTTTAATTATATAAGTATGTTTGTCAGTGTTTTATGCTCAGTTTTGCAGGTGCACTGGGCCAAATCCAAGTCATTAAACTAGCGTGTTCTTTTACAGCCACTTTAATGCTAATACTATTGGCCTGGAGCCCATCCCAACCTGTTAGGAGAGACAGAAACCATGTTTACGCTGGTCTAGGACCGGTTTCTCTCGCTGAAGTCTGAGTATTTACCCTCACATCACACAGTTAAACTGGTGTCAGACCAGCAGACATGCCACTCATATTCAAGAGTCATTCTGTTCTTTATTAGTTCTTTACTCAACAACATGCCAAGACCCTTTTTTGGGTCTTGTTCTTGTTCATGTCATAAACAAATAATCAGAATTCTCTGGCATGTACGTGAGTGATGATTTCATGGAAAAAATTAGGTGTTTCTTTCCATCTGCACGATCTGATTTTCATTCCTTATAGGCAGAACAGAGACAGAGGTTGTTCTTGTAATCCCTCAGGGTCTGGTTAAGAGGTAAGATGTGCTCGGTTTTTATTGTCTGCTGTGTGTGTGAACAGAATTGTCTGTATTAATAAGTCTATTCTCAGTATTTGGGTTTAGACATAAATAGACCCAGATGGTATCTGACTCTGACTTTTTTTCTTTGCTGATTGTGTAGGGAAATTCTGTGTAATATTATATTAAATCTCTGTAATATCTGTAAACTAAAGTCTGTTGCATACATATAATACTACTAATATACTTATAATATTAATCTTCATGAATTGCCTGATTAAGTGTCTTTCATTCAATTTTTAGTAAAAAATAAAAATAAAACTCCATGTTTGTAAAAGTGGCTTTGAATGTATTTAAAAACACATCTCTTAAAAATGTTAGGCTATTGTTATTTTCTTTCCAAAAATAATACAAATCTATCTATATATATCTGTCAGTCTGTCTGTCTGTCCCTCCTTGATATACTCACGACTCATACTGCATTAGGCTACTCTTTAAAAAAAAATATTACGACTGCACTCATTTGAACTTAATTAATTTGTTATCTCCATCAATACTTTTCCCCAATGTGTTCACTCAGGTTAATTCAAATACTATAGTTTAAATGTTACATCCATTTTCTCCACCTTAGTTTGCATTTTAGATTCACATTGTTTCTCTTACCTGCAGGGGGAGCCACATGCCCAGATTTGCACAGACGAGCTCTGAGTGTGTGTGTTTGTGTGTACAGTAAATGTTCTCAGACGTCAAATCGACTTCAGCTGCTCCATCCAGCTTCTACCGCAATCATGATGTCATGCTGCTTGCAAAGAGGTCGGGTCATCAGGTGTTCTGTCTCGCAAAGGGCAAAGGTCAAAGCCACAGGTGGGAGGTCAGTCTGCTGCCCGACACTGTGCCCACCCCCTGCTCTATAAACTGGAAACATCTGCAGGAGTCAACAGAGAAGCGTTAAGGGAGAAAAAAAAAAAAACCCCGATATAAATCTTCAAAGATAAGCAAAACGAGAGAAGAGATTCCTCTCATCGCCATGCCTCTCCAACTTGTTTTGTAAGTGGTTAGTGACCTCATTTAATTTGGCTGCAACTGGATCCTATGTGTTTGTAGAGGAAAGGTGCTTGCCTTGAACTGAGGTATTTGTGATTTAAGATACACAGCTGTCAATAAGAGTGATTTGGAGGATTAAACGTGGTGAAAAATCACTGTAGAATTTGATTACCAGCAATTTATCTGTTCAGATCTTGACAAATATGGCAATAAATTAACCTTGGACTGCAGGTAGGTTCTACACTGAAACATTAATCAGGTTCTCAAGATAATAAAGGTTCGATGCAGTTGAGATTTATTTAAGCTTTTAATTGCTTTGGATTTTCTTTTTTGTTCATGTGTTTTTATACTCTTTGTGTGTGCAAAATTATTCAGTGAGTAAAGGATTTAGAAAGCTAAGAGTGAAGTTAGCCTTTTACACGCTGTAGCCAAAGGTTTATTGGCTGCTTGTTTATGTTTCCACAGCGAAACCACGGTGTACGACTCTCAGACTTAGCCATATATCGTGGTATATGTACCGTGAGTAACAAACACATCTCAACTGAGTTTGGCAAGACTGAAATTGTTGATGTTTGAAGGTCTTCTCTGAAAAGCTCTGTGAAAACCTTTTTAACCTTTTCAACCCGTCTCAGTGCGGCAAGTGCAGCGACAGCAGAGAAAGCAGTCTGACATTTCAAATAGAGCAGCCGTTGTTTCCTTAAGTGAATTATCTGTCTATATTTTATAATATAATGCAAGAAAATCATGTATAAAGTTATGTCTACGTTAGACATTGTCTTACATTCGCTTAACATTCTCTTTGCCTAATGTTCTGGCTATGTTATTTCCAGTAACACTGATAGCTGGTATTTTTACCATTATCAAAAGGATAGCACAAAAAACATATTTATAGATTGTTAGGTGAACATTTTTTTCTTAAACATTTAAGGTGGGCATGCGTCAAACGGTTTTGAAATCTTAATGCTTATTATTTGTTTCAGAACATTCAGAGAACAATAAAAATAATGTTTTCATTATGTTTGCAAAATGATAAAATGGAACATTCCCTTAATGTTTTCTCTATTAATGCAAAGTCATGGAAGTAATGCAAGCATATGGAGTGCGTCGGAAATGGAACAGGGCATCAATTTACTATCGGTGTCTCGTCATGCCAGGCCGAATCCAGTGTACACAGTTTATATCACTAATTATAATGGGTTCTCTTTGATTCTGTTGGGTGTTCAGTTCATGTCTTACAGTACATATGGTATGACAGCCAAAACTTTTTTTTTTGCTTATTTTAATATTGTAGGGTCTTCAACAGACTGTCTAATCTAATGCAGTGACATTCTGATTTTTTAAGAGTTAGTTTACCCAATAATATAAAATCTGTCGTCATTTACTCACCCTTATGTTGTTCTGAATTTGCATTTGCATGTTTCTTTTGTGGAACACAAAATAACATATTTTGAAAATGTTGGTAATCAAAAAGTTTGGGTTACAGTTGACTTTCATTAAAAACATTTCTCAAGATATATTTAATTTTCTTTAAAGGAAAGAAAGTCGTACAAGTTTGGAACGACAGTGTGGGTAAATGATGAAAGAATTTTCATTTTTGGATAACTCCTTTCAGTTGTGGCTTAGGTGTCCAAATACATTTTGGGGCTGCGTATTTAGAAATATGAGCTTTCAAAAATCAAATGTAAAACAAAAGAAAGCACATACAGATGCACATTTACTAGTTAAACATTTAAAGAGAGCACTCCCTCTCCACTCATCTGTCTTCTGTGATGTATGGAGCTCTGGCTCCTCTGTGCAGTGTTCTGGGGACAAAGACACTAAGCAGGCTGCTGTGGTTTAGTGAAGTCAGGCCCCCTGACAGACCGAATCTAACTGTGACTAATAATAAATACAGTTCAGTGATGCTCAGTGTGACAGAGAGGATGAAGCTTGAGTATTATTGATAAATAAGCAGTGAGTGCGGCTCAGTTTGATACAGTGAGACCTGCAGCTAACAGCTGTGTCCTGCTCCCTAAGGGGCAAAACAACCAGTTTATCCTGTGGATTTCGTGTACAGAGACACTGACAGACTCGTACTGCAGTGTTCCAGTGTTTGAAGCTGCTGATGTCAGAGATCAAAGACTCCCTCTTCAAACACACACACATATTCTCGCATCCCGCTGCTCTTGGATCCTCTGAGTCCCATCATAAGTGACTCTGATGGCATCTGGTCTGTTGTTCTGTTCCCAGAGGCTCTCTCTGTGTTTTCTGCTTTCTGTTTCCTTGTGCTGATTAATTCCAGTGATCTGCGAATGAGACTCGGTCTTTCCTCTGTTCTCCTTCTAAACATTAGGCCTGCTTCAGTGCATCAGCACACCGAGGAGACCTTTCAGCAGGCGGACGAAGATTAATGCATGTGTGTGTTTCTGGAGAGTGCAAAAGAAACAGCAGTGTAATATATGTGTAAGTGTGTGTTTCAGGATGAATGCATGCATATATATCCCATTTCGAAAAAAAAAAAAAGAAAGATTAGAAAAAAGAATGAAAGATTAGAAAAAATGTGAGATTTAAAAAAAAAAGTGGACTAGGTAAAAAGGGGGAAAAAACAAATATCTGGTATTTAAATATAATTTAATTTAATTTAAAACACTAAAATTGTATTAAGTTCTAGGTAATTTTGCTGAAAATTTACTCTCAGGCCATCCAAGATGTAGATAAGTTTGTTTAATCAGCACAAATTTGGAGAAATTTAGCATTACATTGATTGCTCACCAATGGATCCTTTGCAGTGAATGGGTGCCGTCAGAACAAGAGTTCAAACAGCTGATAAAAACATCACAATAATCCTCAAGTAATCCAAACAACTTCAGTTAGTCAGTGTCTTGTGAAGTGGAAACATGCGTGTTTGTTAGAAACAAATCCATTATTAAGGCATTTTAACTTTAAACTGTCGCTTCTGACCAAAATACAAATCCATAATAATGGCTCCACCAGTGAAATATTCCATCCCCTGTTGTCTTCTTACATCAAAATACACTGAAATATTTGTTCAGAACATTTCAGAACTGTTTTTGCTTGTAAACGGTGCTTGATCTGTGCATATTTCTCTACTGATTCAGACGTGACAACTTTTCCCTGGAGAAAGCATTATTTTAGAGGACTTTTATTTTAGCTGAAAGCATTGAAGTTAAAAATTACTTGATGGATTTGTTATTTATTACAAACACACAGCTTTTTTGAACTGGAGTCATGTGGACTTGTGGATTACTGTGATGTTTTTTTTTCAGCTGTTTGGACTCTCATTCTGACAGCACCCATTCACTGCAGAGGATCCACTGGTGAGCAAGTGATGTAATTCAAAATTTCTCCAAATCTGTTCTGATGAAGAGACAAACGAATCTACATCTTGAATGACTTGAGGGTGAGTAAATTTCTTTTTCAAAATGTGATTGTCTTGCATCATATAAATAACTCCAAGGCCACATCTTTAAACCGCATAAAGTCCACATTGCATTCTTGTCAAAAAACACTTACAGCAAATGGCAGTTTGATTGACATTTGAAGTGACCAATAACAGTTAATTTTGTTTTGTATTTAATTTCAATTAAGTTCAAGTTTATTTGTATAGCGCTTTTCACAGATCGTTGCAAAGCAACTTTACAGCAAATTAAGTTTCTACAATATTTAGTGGAATTTACCAATTGAATGCATATGAACTGCACCACAATGTTATTAATGGAAAATTCTAAATTTTCTTTGAGACTCGATTTTCTGAGGTTGGACGCATGTCAATGGATGCAACATCTGTAGCTACTACAGTTGTCGGTTACTATTCATTACTATTTATTTTATTTACAATAAAACTAGCTAAATTGCATGTACTAAATACAATAGTATTGCACAATTATGATAGAGTACATAATTCAGTTTACAGCACCTAAATAAAATAAAAGCATAAAAACATAAATAAAAGCATAAAAGAGCAAAACACACTGAATGTGCATTCTTTATTCATCATTTTTGTAGAAAAAAAACTTTTTTGTTTAATGAATTAAATTTTTGTAGAAAAAATGTAAATGAATTTTTATAGAAAAACATCTTGAGCTGACTATTGTAATTTGAATGCAACAAACAATAACTTTAATAAATAAATAAAATAACCCTTGTCTCTGCCAATGTTTGTTGTAACATTGGTACTTTATGAGACTTTGTTCAAAACTATCAGTCAATTAAGCATTCAATTTGGCCAAATTCAGGCAAGTGTGTTAATTTTAACTAGCTGACTGAAAAGAGATTGAACCCCCCCCCCCGCACAGCTCACTTTTCTGTGGCACACGTTTAATTTCTCTGGGATCGTTGTGTGCATCTTATCTGTGTGAGGGGGAAGCGCGCGTGTGTCCGTATGCATCTGTAGGATATGGAGTACTCCTCTCCAAGCTGATTTGAGCTTTAGAGCTCCTATCACTCAGCGACAGGTCCACTTTAACCCTCTCTTTTATTAATGGCCACCCAACACTGAGCTGCAATAAGGACATGAGAAACGGCAGAGAGGGGTAATTTGTCGTGAACACGGCCAAAGGTCGAGGAGTTCAGACGGAAGAATCTTCTGGGTGCTTCGGAGAGAGATGGTGGACGAGAGAAGGACATGGGGCCAAACCAAACATGCTCGGCTGTCTCTAACTCTCTCATTCTGCTCGAGATGGATCTGGCTTACGGCCAGGACACATTAAGAGAGATGATGACAGACAGAGATAAATAACCGGAACATTAATCATAGAAGGAGAGAAAGGCCAAACGAGTCAGTAGAGAAAGGAAAGTAAGAAAAGGTGTGAATGAGGCAGATGACAGGGAATCCTTCTACAGAATGATGGAGATCTGCTCCATCCAAGACAACAGAAGCTGAAACAACAACAAAAGAGTTATTTTTAAGGCAATATCTGACAGTTTTGAACACTAAACAGTTCACATTGTAACGCAAGGAATTCGAGGTAGTGCAACGAAACTCAACAGAGAAACACAAGACCACCCACAGCTGGTGTTTGAGAGCATTTCCTCAAACCTGCTACCAATTTTGCTCCTAATCTGCAGCCCTGACCACCTCTGGCTTTTCTGATGGTGTAATTCATGATTTCAGTGGAACGTGGATTCTGTCTGGCAGGACGCAGCGGCTCACAGTGTGATAAGCCGCACGCATTGAGCTGCTCTCAGATATTGCTTCTTTTCAGAGACTTTGTGGTTTTCAGAGGAGCCTGTTGGTCTATGAGTCTATTTCATGGAGTTATTTTGAGATACTAAACTAGAAACTTTGGTTACAAACTGTTTTCCACAAAAAGGGGAATCCTGGCCACATTGACGACTGTGAATGCACAAATCTTACCTGTACAAAAATAAATAATTCATGAATCATTTGCTGTTTCTGGGTTGGCTGCACCTTCTGCATTGTGTTGGTGCAGTTTAGAAGTAAAATACGACAATAATTGCAAATACATATGGGTGTCTCTCTCTGTCTTTCTCTCTTTCTATACTATATTTTACCCATCATATGCAATGTGTGTGTGTATGTGTGTGTATGTATATAGCATAATGTGTAAGTTACCTTTAAAGGGGTCATATGATGCTTTTTTTAAAATCATTATTTGGTGTATTTGGTGTAACAGAATATGTTGACATGCTTTAATGTTCAAAAAACACATTATTTTTCAAATACCGTACATTATTGTAGGTCCTCTATGCCCCGCCTCTCTCAAACGCTTCGTTTTCTACAAAGTCCCTCCTTCCGACAAGCGCAGTCTGCTCTGATTGGCCAGCTGACCCAGTGCATTGTGATTGGCCGAACACCACAAGCACTCGTCGGAAATGTAACGCACCTTACCATAATCGCGAGCTTCATCTTTCAAAATAAATGTAAAGACAGAGCCCGAAAGGGGAACAGAGTCGCGTGACAGACACAGTGATGAAGCTGGTATGTGTTTGCAGTACACAAGCCACGGTTAAGACAGCTGACTCCACTGTGATGTGACCCCGTCTCTCTCTCTCTCTCTCTCGCTCTCTCTCGCTCTTGCGCTCGCTCTCTCGCTCTCTCTGTCTCTCTCGCTCTCTTGCGCTCTCTCGCTCGCGCACACACACACACGATGTGCAAAACTCCGCATTTGAACAGTCAATAGCAAATACTTAAACTAATAACAAAACAGTAGCTGATTCAGAAGCGCCAGATTGTCATAGCAAAGTCAGAATTACCTCCTCTCCTAGGTTCACGAAACGGTCGTCCATAAAATGCATTGCTGTTCTGTTGTAAGTAATCTTAAAGATTCCTAAATGCATCTACTTTCGGAAAGCCAAATAAAGTGCTTTTGCTTTCGCCTAGAAACACAGCGTCTCCCTGACATGGCTGCTTCAACACTAACTGCGGTTACTGAAACCACGCCTTCTTTCTTTGAGTGAACATTTGGGCGGCATTATGCTAATATTTCCACATAGTGAGGTAGATATGTGGGGGTGTGTTAGAACGAGCCGTTCTGCGTGGCAGAGTCTTAACTTTGATAAAGAATATCTCTTTGGTTTTGAGACTTTAGTCTTTGCAACTTCAGGGATCTTATCTATTCACAATCAGCTTGTAACACTCCAAAGAGAAAGGAAAACTTGAAATTGCATCATATGACCCCTTTAAAAAAACTCTTAGTACACAGTGGAATTGTGATCATTGTGGTGGAAGTGACAGCACAACTGAGATACAATTACCATAACATAAAGTATACATTAATATGCGATCTTCACTGTGAATATTGAATGATTTATGTTAATTTCATATTTTTATTTTCATATTTTTAGATTTTATAGTCTAAGTCATTAGACTATAATTACATTAAATTCTTTAGTCTAAATAAGATTCTATAGTCTAAATTAATCATTAGAAAATAAAATAAATTATGAAGTCATGATAAAAAGTTTCAAAGACTGTTTTAATGTGACTTTATCAAACAAATACATATTCTAAAACGTATTTATTTTTAAACGCAAATCTGTGAATTTCAATAAAAGTTCTCAAAGTTCTCTTTCCTGTGTAGGGTACGTGGGACTCATCTCAGGTCTGCTTTCATGTGTTGTGCTTTAAATCTTTGCAATAGGCAGCATTCCATTAGGCATTTCATCACCGTCTGTAATTATCCCATGTCAGAGCTCATTCCCACAGCAGCTGCGGCCATGTCCAGGATCCTGCTTGGGTTTGAAGTGCCTCTGTTTTATGGCCTATCGAGAGACGGTTTGCATCGCCACGCACAGGATGAGTAAAGTTCGCTGCAGTCTCACTGAATGCCTTCAGGAGCATGTCATCTGCCACTTTGACCCAAAATGCCACAGCCACTCTAGCAGTGAGGTAGGAAAGTGACAAGGTATATGAACCTTGGGGGAACTGCAGTCCATTTTTGTGATGGAAAAATCACGTTATAATGTGTTCAGCCTTGAGCTTACAGCCCAGTCACAGCTGTGATATTTGGAAAAACAGCACGTTTATTATATTGCATTTATGAAACAATTTAATAAATAATAATTAGAATATTTAGTAATGTAATGCCACTTACATTGTTTTTGCTGTGCTAACAAAAACTACATCTTTTTTTTTTAAGTAAATATGCAACAAAAAGTTTAAATATTTATTTTTTGGTAAACTAAATAGCAAGGTGCCTGTAATTACCTTGCTAACTTGACCTGTATGAATCCTGGGCCACCCCATAGAGAAATCCTATGTATTTGTCTATTCCAAGACCCACGAATACACAAAAGTTTTCTCCCTTTAAATTTTTGTATATTTGCATTACATAAATTTGGTTTCGGCAGCCTGCCCATGCGTTGACTGGGCCACCCTGAAAAGCCTTGAGGCTCCCTACAATATGACCAGTCCATCCCTTTTCTTATCTACAAACATCTTGGTCATGCACTCAACCAAAACCACATAGAGAATCTGAAATTCATTCTTTCATTCTCATGTACTGCTCGAACCATTCTCAGAGTGAGATTTAAAACTTAAGTTGTGCTTGTTTTGGAGGCTTCATATGTTTTTACTCTCACAAGCACTTGGACAGAAAACACCCCGCCTGCCTTGCACATTTCTATCTTCAGCAATGTTCAGCATTTGTAAATCATGACAAAATGGAGCCCCAGAGTTTACATTAATGGCTCGGACCTCACTTTAGAGCACTTGATCGAGCGATATTAAGAGTTTCCTGTAAAATGATGTTTGGATCCTTGACAATTTTTTTTTTCCACACACTCTCAGCTCAGAGGTCTGTGTGACAGTTCATCTCTACTGTACCATGCTGGATCATAATGATCTCCCAGCTGTTGATGAGAGGTTTGGATACCGATAAGCATTCATTTAGAAAGTAGGGTCTCTCAGTGGTCATATATAATCCATGATTATTCATGATTTGCTACATTTTTTATTAGATTGAATTTGAATCGATTGAATTTCTGCTGTGAGTCCATTATTGACTCACATAACTTCCACTTTATTTAATCTAGGTTGTAGCGATTCTAAGGTCAGGTTAGTTGCAAATTCAGAATCAGAACCCATAATTTAGCTTCTGATTTTCAAGATGATCTGTTAAGACAACAAATACGGATTAGCGCAGCGAATCTCAACATATCATGCAAAAGTCAAATAGATGACATTATTCAGGAGCTGTATTTTAAAAATGTTGTGTAATTTCAGCTTCACCCCCAAAGGGAGCATTTGAACCTTACATTGTTCTTTTGTCAAGAATCTCTTGGATTTACCAGTCTGGTCAGCATATAAATCCACGCTCAGGCCCCAGGAAACCATCCAAAATGCACTACTAGTGCAATCTGTGAAATGTCTTGAGTTATCAGTTTAAGTTTGGCTTCAGGAAATCTACACATTTCCCATGAAGAGATTTACACCTCAGGAATCATTTCCATGTGTGAATAATGTGATCAAATAATGCTGAAAAATGCTGAAATGTTTTCCTTATACTGCTACATACCAAAATATTTCTCCAAACCCGGAGAAAAACTCTTATTGTTTTGAAGAGTGTGTCAAACCATAGGGCTCCACCTCGGGGGAAAGACTTTAGCATACGTCTGTACACACAGAACCCATGGGCAGGTCACTGCTCCAGAAGACCAAGCAATCAATCAAATTACCTGCTAAAATAAAGAATAATAAATAATTTGAAAATATGTTTTTGTTCACTGCTCACTCAGCTTCTGTGCCAGCAGATCTGTATTCGTTCCATAGAAAGTGTTTTCTCTCAAGCTTTGAAAGCTCTTATGCAGTCACTCGGAGGAATGGTTCAGGCTGAGCTGAAAACACAAAGGTCACAGGTTTGATCTGAGGTAGGGGTGACCGAGAAAGTGGGGAATTACCAGAGTCACAGGCCCTCTGTTATCATTGTGCCCTTTAGCAAAACACTTCTCTGGGTCTCAAGCAGCCTACTGCTGCATTTTTGACGTTGTTTTTCAGGACACCCATTTATGATGATGTATGAAACATTTAGGAACCTAATAACCTTTTTAGTTGACAAAAAATGTAAAAATAAAGCGTTATGTTCAAATGTTTCCAACATGTCATCCAAACACCTCATATGTTATAGATCCTATAGCCAGTTATTTATTTATTTATTTAGCATATACAATGTTAGTAAAATAAATGTTAATAAAAAAAACGGTGACAAAAAAAATTAATTTTCCTTTTCAGTCTGCTTCAGCTTTCTAACAGCATTTGTCAATGTTAAAGTGATTGGCCAATCAAATAAAACAAGGCGTAGCCTAAAGCGTCAAAACTTAAAGGGGTGGTTCATTGCGATTTCACTTTTTTAACTTTAGTTAGTGTCTAATGTTGCTGTTTGAGCATAAACAATATCTGCAAAGTTACAAAGCTGAAAGTTCAATGCAAACGGAGATATCGTCTTTTAAAATTCTGGCAGTTTAATGCCTACAAAAACGACTGGTAGGGACTACAACGAGCTACTTCCCGGGTTCGTGACATCACAAACCCAGATTAACCCCGCCCTCAGGAAAAGGCAGCAAAGGGGGCGAGGCCTGCTCTGCTTTAGAGAAGAGGAAGAGAAAACTAGAGGTGCACGTAAAAATCTATTCATATATGAATCGCGATTCTGTCTTCTAACAATTCTAATGGATTGATTCACAAGTTTCAAAATAAATGTTCTAAAGCAGCGGTTCTTAATACTGTTCCTCGCGTCCCCCTGCTCTGCACACGCTCTGCATCTCGCTCTCTCTCTCATTCAGCTCAGCTCCAGGCCGCTGCTCTGCACACGCTCTGCTCTCTCTCTCTCTCTCGCTCTCATTCAGCTCAGCTCCGACAATGACCTGTTCCAATTATACTCTTATTTTCACATAGCTATGAGAAGCGTTAAACATGGACGCGCATGTGGTTGCTGTACTGTATTAAAGCTTTAATCAGAATAAAACTGTATATTAAAAGCTAACATAAGCAGTAGCATTTACAAATAACAGCGTATCTAAAAGTATGAGACAACAAACACAAAACATAGGCCTACCATTAAAAGCCACGCTTGCACAGGTTCTGCACGATCCTCTTCAATAGCTTCATAAAAGAAGGAAATGATCAGCCCATTTCTCAGAGAAGGGACAGAGCGGTGTGAAATAAAGGTAAATTATGTGAAAAATAATGCGTTTTTTTAAAAACGAAGCATTAACACATGTTAGACTGCACCCCATAAACACAATCAAGCCTAGAAAAAACCCAGTGAACCACCCCTTTAAACGGAAGCGTCACGCCGGGTGTTTGTTCGGCTTCTTATGAACGATAGGTAGATGTAAGTAGCTAAACATTTCATATTTTACAAATGTTTACTATAAAAATGTCAAAGGACTGACAGTATTATGATCTGATACAAACCACTCGACTCTTTTTCAAATTTCAAATTGAAAATGTACATTTTTACACATCTAAGTAATTTCTAATTGAATGCGACGAGACAAGAAACATTAACGGAAGCGTTTTCGACGT